CACTGCTAAGACTATAATTGCTCCGAAAAGAAAAAATTTCTCTCCGGAGCAATGAGTCATAGCAGCGAAGAGAAAATAGTTTTCTCCGTAGCACTAACTAATTCAGTTCGCAAATGCTGAAAACGGATCAACTCTTTTCAAAAACCGGTAGAAATAATTCCTCGACATGGCACAATTTAATGTAGGTGTGTACCTGTCTCAAAGGTTACAGCATTCCGAATGTATTTTCTGTGCTTTTATGTATTTTTTATCAGCTTATCGTTTTCCTCCTATTCAGATACACCCGAAACCGAGTTCCAACGAATCCATCGGCAAAAAGTCAAGGTTGCCCATTGTTGAAATAAAAAAAAGAGAAAAAAAAATTGTATATTCTTGAAACTATCACATTTCCTGGCAGGGAAAAATTGCATACTTATTCCAAGCTTTACAGTTAATTTAAAATTATTCCTATTTTTATAAAAAACAAAGTTGCAGGTTTGTACTTACGATAAGTCACATGACTTTGATTTTATCTTCTTTTTAGGCTTTGAGTTCGACTGATGTGTTTCAAGATTTTCGATGAATGAATTTTCTGCTTCATTTACTGGATGCGTAATATCAGAATCATTGTTCGATATATCATTTGCAACGTTCACCCTGTGTAGAGGAAAATATAAGATCGGTTGTTTTAAAAATAAATTGAAATTCTACTACACGTATGCCACTTGGGTTGAACAAAATTCTAAAAAGTTTTTTTTTAACTATGAGCGCAAAGTTTGACATCGACGAAAATTGGCCAAAGTGACACTCTTACATCCCTAATGAACATACTTGAAGGAATTTTTTGTCCTCCGAAAGGATCGGTTACAATAGCGCGTTGAATGCTGAAAAACCCGCATTTTTCGCCAAAATTGGCCTTCAGACCCATGTTTAGGCCAGTGGTAGACCCCAAAATAGATCGGAAATGACCAAACCATTATGCATTCCATAAAATATAGACCTTCAATGACCAAAAAAACGCAGAGTTGAGGAATTTCAGGGTAGGCCCAAAAAAGGCCCTTAACGATACCCCTCCTTTGTCAATTTGCAGTATTAACAGTTGGAAAGCAGCCAATAGATAATTAAGATGCTTAAACCACAATTTAAGGGGCACCTACAGCCGCATAGTAAACATAATAGTAAACTTAATAATACTCACGTCTGTAAAAAAACAAATATGCATAATGAGATTTTGGAAAGTGTAATTTTGTTTCACAAGACTAATGCTCAAACTACAACATTTTAAGTGGTGAAATTTTGTTAATTTGCAGTATTGCCAGTTGGAAAGCCGCCAATGGGCAATTAAGATGATCAAACCACCTTCTGAGGAACATCTAAAGTCACACAATAAACTTGATAACAACGCAAGGTTGCAACTAGAATAGAATTAACTGAAATTTTTACTAACAGTGCATAGGTTTCACTCGATTCTATTTTCTTTTCCTTCTTTGGCTCGGCGTCATACGATTGTGCAGATGTTTCAATGCATATAGTATTGTTTTGGATCGGGGTGGATTCATCAAAACCAGGAATTTTTCTGCATTTGGTTATAGCTGTATCTCTGAAACAAGCAAAAAATGGAGAGTTTCTTAGGTAGATTAATAAAGCTTCTGCTAAAATTTTTTTATTGGTTGCCATATTATGACAAGAAAATTAAACAATTGGTTATAAGGTGAAACAACAATAGCCATGAACTGAAATAATAAATGCAAAGCATTGCAAACTTGTTACTTATTATCATCGCATTAAGAGTTGGCAAACAAATTTTCTGATAGTAAAATGATACATTATCATCCAGTTACTTCCCAGGACATTGAAAAACAAATTACAGTTCAAGAAGACCACACAACTTCTGGTTAATAACAAATTAAGCCACCACTAAATATTAGGTATTCAAAGTATTAACTCCTAAAATGGTCTTATCAAACGTATAGATGTCCAAAACATTCCTCAATTTTGCATATCAACTAACACTTACATATTGAGTAAAAGCAGATTTCTTACCTCTGAATTATTCTTTGACTGCGTCGACTCATTACCTGAAATGAAAATTAAAACAGCATTATATTATCTACATTTTTTAAGTCAACTCAAAAACTAAATTTTTGAAATTCTATAAATACATTGAGGCTTTAAAAATAAAAAAGAAGAGCAAGACACTAGTGAGGAACTCTTGAAATATAGGTTAATAAGCTATAGATTGTGCATAGAAATTGCTAGTCTAAAGTTTCAAGAATGAGAAAATAATCAGCCCATGAGTGGGTCCAGAATGAGGGAGAAGGAAAAGTTGAAATAATTTTACTGGAAGGAGGGATAAATGAGGTACTCACCGAATTTATTCGTACAGAACATTCAAAAATCCCGTGAAAAAACAGCTCACAAATAAAAGCAAATTGCCATAGAAACTTCTTCACGAAATCACACACACAACGAAGAACGAGGCGCTACAGACGAGTCCGTCCAAGACAAGTTAAAAAATTCCCATGAGCCGAGTGCCGTAGGTTAAGGGCCCGTTCGCCAAAACTAATCGGAACTGTATGAATGAATTGCTCCTTTTAAAAATCAAAACAATATCGAATTGCGATATATTACACAGTTAAGATAGGGCTATGTCCTGTCGTAAGCGGCGACATACAGTCGATATCATTTCAATAATCGCCCCAATGGCCACGATAGTTGTTAGACGTTTACGGTTTCCCTGGTAACCTTTGTTTGCTATCAGCTGATATCAAGTAATATGACTAGGAAGCTCCAACCCAGTGGTTAAAGCTTCCTTAACCGCGAAAACTTTAAAATTCAAATTTTCAAATTTTGAACGTAAAGTACATTTTTTCCATCACGAGATAAAAGCACAAACAAGTTTTGAATTGTGGACTGTATCACCATGATTCCAAAAATACAATACACAACATAGCATTGACTAACAATAAAACAGTATGCAATAAAATAAAGTCATGACAAGGAACATAGCCGAAAATGGCGCCGATTCCCATCAACCAACGCGCGGTCTCTACAATGTAACATGCTGCATTGATACTCCCCAGCTGGGACCGTCCGGAATAGCAGCTCTAGTGCAAGCACCAGAGCCGCTAAAATTGGTTCAAAGAAACGAACTTTGGTTTATATAGAACACCAAACTTTTCAGTCCACGTGATTGTCGCTTCATACGGTTATTGGAACCTAACATTGGCTCAATTGACCAACATCTTGCGAATTCCTCAACGTTACTGACTAAGACTTTGCAGGGTGTCTACTAAAACAGACCGGCCGAAAATTAGTACCTTTACAGTACTTTTTCAGTACATTCCCAAGAAATTCAGTACCTCCTCAACAGAAAAATTCAGAACTTTTTCAATACCATCAACTGACGAAATTCGAAAATTTTCAAAAAAATTGAATTTCCCGCTCAAATTGCGAAAAATCCGGACTTTCTTGCAAAATTTCCGCACTTTATCATTACGAGAGACAAGAGACCCTCCACTGGCCTCCTAACGACAGGTGGAAGCTTTTACTTTCGGGGTTTCAACAATTCCTTATGGGCAATTATTAGGGAGCAACAGTCATCACCCTAGTTTCGGTTGTTGACTTACCTACATGGTCGATGATGAGCTTCGGATGACGTCATGAGCCAAATAACTTTCCCAAACGTCGGCCATTTTCGGCTTGTTTGCAAAACGAAACTGCCAACACGTTGTTGAACATCAACCATGTACGTAAGTCAACAGTAGAATGCTGAAGTCCCGAAAGTAAAAGCTTCCACCATGGCCAAGATACTAGTGGAGGGTCTCTTGTCTCTGATCATTAATTCCGGACCGCCCTTGAAAAATCAGTACTACTTTCGGACTTTCTGGAAATTCCGAACTCCTAGACACCCTGTTTTGACGACTCGACGAGAAATTTAAATTCACATCTCACTTCGAGACCAGAGATTCCTGTTCTTCCGAAAGCGAAGAGGAAGTCCGAGAGCATTCGAACGCGGCAACGGCGCGAGAGATCCGGCTGAGTGAAGTCACGGCAAGATCCAAGTTGAAAGGAGCGTGAAAAGAAGTTGCATGGCGAATTGGCGAGGAATTGAAACGATAACGATGAAAAATCGGCCAAGATGTTCGGCTCGAGGCGGGTCAAGAGCCCGAGACAGCGGCGCGGCGGCAACCCCTCAAAGTTATCGCTCTGGTTCCGCTGATTAAATTTCCTCCCCGGCGAACGAGAGAGAGCCACCAGCGTCAGCAGCTCCGGTCCAGCTCCCCCGCGGCCACCGAATTTCAAAATTCCGGCTCAAGATCAGCGTTCGATTTAATCGAATTTAATATACAGGGTGATCCAGGGTTAAACAGCCAGACTGCACTGCCTTGCTAAAGAGAAACGCCGCACAGTGGATCGAGTCAATAGGAGAGGTCGAACATAATTTGGAAACTTTAAAAGCATATAACTCCGTTAAATTTAAAATTCGAGATTTTAAAAATGGTTCCATTGATTTCCTCGTGAAATTTTCTTCAAGAAGCACCCCTTGAAGTTTCAAATGTGGCGAAATAAACATACAAATATGCAGTTCTTGTCAAAAATTTCACGCCCAACCTCTCTGATTGACTCGATCCCTTGTGCGCCGTATGAAAAATCGAGAGTTGCCAAATTTCCTCTCAAAAAAATAGTCATTGTTGAAGAAAAAAATGGATATTTTTCCTTAATGTTTTCAGGAACCTCGGGTGATAATGCGTACAAAATTATCTGAAAAACTAGAAGGAGAATATTCATAAGTTTACCAGGAAATTCGTGTTTCATCAAAGGGAATTTCTAATTTTGTCGTCTTTCGGTGAAACAAAAGACAGCACCTTTAATTAGTCGAGTTTCGAGAAAAACCAAATACGCAATTTGGTTTGGAGCGACGCGGCGCAGAGAGCAATTATGACAAGGACTTGAGATGAAAAGGAGAAGCCCTCGGTGCGGCGGTTGGCATGTAACACATGTTAGCGCCTACAAGACTGTATGAATACTTCACGCATTGCGTCAAATACAGTGCAGTCAGCGTGAGACGCAAAGCCCCTACAAGGTTGCATGAATACTTCACGCATTGCGTCAAACACAGTACGGTCAGCAGCGGTCGGCATGAAACGCTTAGCGCCTACAAGACTGCAGGAATACTTCACGCATTGCGCCAAACGCAAAGCGGTCAGCATGGCATGGCGGCGGAAGTTAAAATCATATTAATTCACATTAATGTTTGTTCTTCCAAAATTGTTACGTTCATTTTTTACAAATGGAAGGCCTTGTTCACACAGAGATAGGTTTACGGAACTTAACATAACACAAGAGTTTAGTTACTTTTTTTTATTGTGTATAAGCCACAGTGTAAGGTCTGAAATTCAAAATAACGACACAGGTCTTCCTTCAACGTCTGGTGTAGAACAAAACTATAAGCAAGGGAAAGTTCAGTTAACTAATACTGATAAACTAGTGAAAATAGAGAAAACAGATCTGCCACATGGAAACTTGTTTTTTTTTTTTTTTTTTTAATTTTTCGGTTATAACTAACTTTGAGCCAAGAATTAATCTCACGGGCAACTTTCCTTCTATGGCGTCTCCTGACGGTGCGCGCGATTTTTCTGAGGCAGTGAGCGATTCAGGTTGACGATTTAGCGTCGAGATAAGATAGATGAAGGGTTTTCGGGGGGTTGTATATCGGGAGAGGGGGTGCGGGTCGGCTTCTATGTTCGAGAGTAGGGATATAAAGAAGCTGGGTCTCCCTAGTCGCGCAATCCACCTAAAAGCTCGTATAAACATAAACAAAGGAAATTTATGTTAAAGACGTAAAGTTGAATCTAATTTATATCGAGGGAGATATAAACTACTTTGAAAAGATCACGACTTTAGATGACTCCTTGAACTCGGTATTTGCAAAACTGCTCGGCTAAACGGTACGCAGGACTCTTATTTTCAGGGAAAAAAGCAAAGGCAACTAGGGAATGGAGAATTCTGAAACGCCTGGATAGTATTTTACTGATTTTAGGGCATTTCTGAAGATTTCTCATTTTTAATAACAATTGTTGACACAGGAGAATATTTTTCTTCAGGCGCAGAGGTGCATTTATATCAACACGTTTTTTTTTTTCAAATTTTTTATTCATGTTTCTTTTTAAAGGTTTAAGTTAATTTCTAAAGGTTTGAGTTTATTGTTTCAATGTATTTAAGCCAAATTGAGTAATGAGCATGAGGTTTAGGTGATTCGATGGAATATTTTGTGTCAGAACGGCATGCGATATATCGCATCAATTGGTTCCATTTTGTCAGCTACTCGTTACTTTTCTCCAATTTTGAGATTGCAATTCTGTTGTCAGGAGACTAAAGCACTCACTTACCAATTTTAACAAAGAAATTCAACGTAATAAAGGCGTGGTTTTTTTAGAGAGAAAATATCGCATTCGAGAGCAGTTTCAATATCAGTATCAAATGCGATGTTTTCTCTGTAAAAAAAATCACACCTTTATTACGTTGAATTTCTTCGTTAAAATTGGTAGGTGAGTGCTCCATCTTCCTGACAACAGAATTGCGATCTCAAATTTGGAGAAAAGCGACGAGTAGCTGAAAGAATGGAACCAATTGATGCGATATATCGCATGCCTTTTGACACAAAATATGGCGTCCATCGAATCACCTTAAAATATTTTCGAGGAAATTCCCAATTACTTAGCGGCAAAAACATAGCACTTTTCCTTGCGCATAGGTATGTGCTCCGGGTTGGAGCTCTCGGGAATCCGTCCGTGCGGAATAATCCGATATCGGGAGCTCTCGGGGTCGCCTTCCGTCGTCGCGACGGGGACGAGACGCGCTCGAGCCGATCGGTTATTGGTCGGACGCCGCGGGCTCGGCGCCAACCCGAATGCGAATCCGAAGACGAAGCCGCGAATATTCTAATTAATATTAATGTCCGGGTCTCGGGGCATTACTTACGGCCCGCCACGCCGACACGCGCGGCGCGCCCGGACCCCCACAATCCCCACATACACGTCTCACGTCGCTNNNNTCAGAGTTGGCAAAAAGCGAAGAGTGCATCGCGCTCTGCCGCGTCTACTATCGCGTCGCGACGCCGCCGGGTAATTTATCCCTTTGCGGTCCGGCCGTTTCCATACTCCTGTCTTGAAGGAAAACGACGTAGGTGCACTCTCGCGTTGCCGAGTTTCTTCCGCGGTGTGGAATTTCTGGGAACTTTGCGAGTATCACTGGAAAAAAAACACATTGGATCTAGAGTCCAGACTCTTAAAAACATCGACAAGGAAAAGTACTCTTCATTCAATCAGAATCTAGCTTAAATCAAGAACCAAGCCTCTTAATTTAAGCGGATTTTGTTTTGATTCAAGCAAAAATCCGATTGAATCAA